CAGCAGTTGTGTATGTTCCAGAATAAGACTAGATAGCTATTGGAAGCAGCTACATTCAAAAGCAAGATAAGGCAAATGTCACTTAAATTTCAGACACCTAATGTTCCCAATAAATTTACTGTTTTTTGTTTTGTTACTTATTAAGCACATACCATGTGCTAGCATAGCAGAGATTTAGCACATTACAAATATATTTGTACTCAGGAGAAAATGGAAAAACTTCACAGGCACAACCTATGAATGTAAAAATTATAAAACAACTTCAAAACATGCACTGATCACAAATTAAAATGATTAAACAATATTCATCAGCAATTATATGATATTTTCAACCAATAAAACTACAGAATGTTCAGGGACATGAAATTTGCATCACTGTGATAGCACTTACTATAAGTTTATCCTTGGTACAGAGGTAGAATGTTGGAAAGAAAGTAGGCTCACTCACTAGCTACCCATTCATTCTAGGGGTGTATAACTACTATACACATGTAACAACAAAAACTTACCATGTACCAAAGACTTTTGGAGCTTGTTTTAGGTAATATTCTATGTCAACTCCAAGTGTGTTTTGGAGGAGCTTAACATTTTTATCAGTGATCTTTGGGTAAAGCAGATTGTCCTCCGTAATGTGACGGGCCTCATCCAATCAGTTCAAGGTCTAAATAGAACAAAAACACTGGCCTCTCCAGGCAATAAGCTTCGTCCGTATCACTGACTTTCCTGGGTCTCCAGCCTGCTGGCTCACACTGTACCAAAGGATCGATTTTCCACTGGCCAGCTTCTGTGATCAAGTGAGCCAGTTCCCCGTACTATTATACCATCTCTCTGTTTCTCAGTCTTTCTGTCTTTCCCTCTCTCTGTACACACACACACACACACACATACACACCCTCCTGCTTTCCTATTTGTTCTGTTTCCCTGAAAAATCCTGACTAATACAGTCCTTGGAAATAGCCAAATTTAGTCATGTAAAACGACCAAACAACAAAGGACTGCAATTTTACTTGTTTAATTTGGAGTGTCTTTTCAGTTTTAAACTTGATAGCTTATAATGGGCCCAGTTTGTATGGTGACTGAGCAAAAGAGTAGTTATTATTTATTGATCACTCACATATGCCACCTCATTTAGTCTTCACAAAGATCCCTGCCAGTGAAGTAGTATTATTACCCCTGTATGACATATAACATTTCTAAGACAGTATTTGATTGCAACATGAGTTCTGGAGTCACACTAGGTTGACCTTGGGGCTAGTTATTTAATTTCCCAAAGCAGCAGTTTTCCTCTCTGCAACACAGGAGATAAACACTATTGTATTATGTGCTTGTACACGAATTAAATGAGATGTAAACAAGATATATAAGCACTTTTACTGGTATCCGGTCCAATGAAAGTGTTAACTATATGCTGCTATTTATTATTAAACCATGAAAGCATGAAATATCTAACAAGATCATGTGGTGTGCGTAAAGATTATTTATTTTTTATGTTCAGTGTATTATATATAGGCTTCCAAGAATAATTTCTTGTCAAATCAGTTTGTTCGGTGTTTCCATATAGCATATATTTCTTGAAATGTTCTGTATACATCCACATGCCTGGTATGATGCAAAGGCGTCCTGCAGAAGGTGGCATATTGCTAATGCGCTTCAAGATGGGGACTTGAAAGATATAAAAAGGATTTGACATCTGGCATGGTGACTCAATTAATTACAGTGTTGGATTAATTAGTGTGCTGAATCTCCTGAGCCAACACCATGAGTCAGACCAGGGTAATATTACATTGGCTGGCGAATAAACAATTTAAAAGAATGTGCTAAATCCAAACTGATGCAAGGCTGGGTAAGAAAGAGTTAGCAGGCTAGTTATTTTATAATAAGGAAAATTTATCTTCATCATATAAAATGCATATTAAAGTGCTGTCCACATCATAAAGAGAATGAAAATTGCAGGTGCCTCTGAATTTACTCATAACTGCTCAAATAGACTGTGAGGGATCAGGAAAAAAATATTTTGCCCGAAGATAAAAAAAAAAAAAGTATACCTCTAATTAGTGATGCAATTAGTGATATTTTCTCCCCAAGATTTTTTTTAATCAATTGATAATTTCTCTAAGAAAAAGGCCAATAATTTTATCATGCTAAAATCATGTTGCAAATGTTTTTGAGGAGGCAGTATGGCATGGTTTTAAAACTGCAGATTCTGGAAATAAAAGGCCTAGGTTTTTATTTTCTTATCTTTAAAATGCAATAAAAAAGCCAAATTTACAGGTTTGTTTTGAAGATTACATGAGCTAATGCATTTCCAATTCTCCATACAGTGTCTAGAGAAAAATACGTGTGTGGTATATGCTAACCATCTGTTCTACAGAACTAAGAGTAGCACAAACAGTAGTGCTGGTAGAATTTCATGACATAAACTATATGTGAATTCTGGAAAAGAATGTTATTGAAAAAGAAAAATAGTTTTAAAGTATAACCAAGCAAAGTAACTAAATTTTTCAATTCAGAAATCATTTAAGAAAATAATGTAAGTTAAATATTTAACTAAGACAAAAAAGAAAAGAAGGGTATTAAGATGGTTTATTTTTTTTTTTATAAAGAACTATTACCCACTACTGGTTTTTGATACCTTAACGAGTATTCATACACTCCAGAGAGTATCAAAAATTCTGAAAATTTTATATCTAAATAGCAAATCCTTTGAAAAATATAAAACATGGCATAAAATAGGTTTAGAATGGTACAGGGGGGGGGGCAAAATGATATCATCTGTCAAAAAAAATCATTCTGACAAATTCTGACAAATCATTCTGAAAAATCATTCTGACTTCACTGACAAATTTTCACAGATAGATTTTCCACACAGCCCAATTTAGCATATGCTAAAAATGTATAAAAGCACAACTCTACATATATGTAGACAATGACATAAAGAGTAATAAAATTTGCATTGTTCTATAGATATTAAAAGGGGAAAATGTTCATTTCTCGCATCAGCAATTGGTGCCACAGCATTATACTTTTGAAGAACTATCAGAGAAAAGACTAAAGGCTGAGTTGGCATCTGATATGTAGAGATGAATAAGATAAACATCTTCTTGCCTAAAACATTATCAACAATGCTAGACAACCAATGGAAACCCCCAGAGATAAATGGGTTTAGGATAGCATTTAACTCAACCTATGATGTTTAGACAATCTTATTCTTTTTTGACTTTGTTTGAGAAATCAGTAAGTTAATATTATTCTCTTAAAGGAATCATTAGAACTGTCTATTCATACATTTCTGCCAATCAAGGCCTGTAGTGTGTGGAGGGCCACATCTCAAAATCTTTTTGAAATAGGTGCACTAAATCACCAACAACTAAACTGCCTCAATTATGAAATGCTGAGCCTCTCCTATCAAACTTATTTGTTTCCTAAATACGTGTAAAACCTCTTGCTTTATCCTTTTATGGAAAATACACGAGTTTAGGAAGTAAAAGGCATACCGCTAGCATCTCACATGTTAATTAGAAGTTTGGTGACATAAATATTTCCTACTTATTCCAATCATTTCTGTTAGCTGAACCAGCAAGAAACTCTGTCTCATCTGCATGGCATGGAATAAGCAGAGATATATGCATGTCCATTTCTTTTGTGCAATAACTTGAACACGAAATTTCTTTCATGTGATAAGTTGAAGAAGAAATGCAGTCTTGGTGAGTTTCGCACGTTTGTCAAAACCTCTCTGCGAGTTTTTGTATCTCCACAGGGTAGAGAGGATCATTTAGTAGCCATGAGATTCTTCCTATAAAAATGGAATTTAGAGAGAATATAATTTCTGGATCTCCAAAAGAATAAAGACATTTTTTCTCACAAGTTTTATCCTTTGAATGATCACATAATAGGAGTGGTCCCAATTATTAGAACCTGTGAACATTAAATAATATGGCAAAGAAAAATTACAGAAGTAGATGGAATTAAAGTTGCTAATAGCTGAACTTAAAACAGATTTTCCTGGATTACCTCCCGTGGGCTCAATGTAATCACAAAGATTCTTAAACGTAAGAGAGGGAGACAGGAGAGTCAAAGTCAAAATGTGGACACCAGAGAGACTTTCTCAGGGCTGCGGGCTTTGAAGAGGGAAGGTGGCCACACGCCTAGGACTATGGGCAGCCCAGAGATGCTGGGAAAGTGAAGAAAACAGACTGTCCCCTAAAGACTCCCCAGAGGAATTCAGTCCCACAGACACCTTGATTTTCAGCCCAGTGAAAGACTCTTTCCAGACTCTAAATCTTCAGAACTGCAAGATGATAAATTTGTGTTGTTTTAATCCACCAAGTTTGTGGCAATTTGCTATAGGAGCAGTAGAAAACTAATATACCCAATTAAGAAATGAAGCTTAAATGTAACCAAACATCCCATCTTTCTATGACTTTTAAAAACATCTAATTAATCTGTCCTCTATGTATTCTTACCTAGAGGTAAACTTTCTGATCTCAGAACTTAAACACACACACACACACACACACACACACACACACACACACACACACACACAAACACACAAGAAAAAAACTTAACAACAAATATAATGCTAATCATTCATCCTTGCCCGTAATGGCACAAAGAATACTACCAAGGAATAGCAAGGTTGCTTATTTCTTGCTCTTTGTGTAAACCTGTAATGTATGACAATTAATTTGCGTCATCTTAAAAACAAAAGCATTTGTATGTATTATTAAATGTGAATACTATTAGTCTGGCTAAGCAGATAAAGCAACAACGTTATAAATTACCTTACTAAACAACCATTTAGTAAGTAATGATTAACCTGTTTCCTTCTCAATTCTGTGTATTTTACTGTCAGAGACAAACCACTTGGAAAATATCCAAGTTTTGGGTCCATGAATAAGAAAAAAAAAAAAATCCCTGTTCTTCTTAGTGATTTCACTGGGAAGCAAACAGATAATTTCTGAACAATGACAGAATATTGGGTTAGAGCATCCACATACCAGGGAATTATTATTCAGGTCTATCTTCCCAGCGAATGGGCCCCACGTCGTTCCCACAGGAAGTTGCTGCCGACTCTGAATTTTCCGTTCCCCATCTTTCTGAAAGACCTCCAGCTCTCCTGCAAAGAATGGAAACAAGTATCTTCACTTGTGTGCTTTAACAACAGCCACCTCTTGTTGTGTGTTTGCTTTATGTGCACAATATCCTCAGCGCTCATATAAAGATAATTAATTATGCTTGTCTAAAAAAAAAACAACAACTGATCTTATTATCCTGGGAGGAAAATAAAACTTGTCCTTATAATTGTATTCAAATGTAGTCCCATTTTTTTTTCTTGCACCTTTGCACACATATCATCTGCTGAAGTCAATTCTATTTAGCAAGTTCTTAAGCACCAGAAATAATAATACCTACTTCCTCAAAAGGCACTGGCCGAATGCCGAAACAGATAGATAAGAAACGTTAGGACAATGACTTAAAGTTTAAATTTTTATTTGTGATCACCAATATAAGTAAAAAATTATAACTAAAGATATAGATCTTAGGCAGTAACTTTCCTATAATTAATCATGTCTTGAATAAAATCAGGAGAGCTTTTTTTAAAGTACTTGACGATTTTCTAAAATTTTATTAGTTCCGATGAATAAAACATCTACATGTATAAAAAATAGAGATACATAAAAAAGGCTTGGTCAAAATCATTTTTAAACAGTTTTCATCCAAAAATATGTTTTTTGTTGCTTTAAGAGAGAGAGGAATGGAGAGAGAAAGAAAAACATGGATATTAGAGAGAAGGATGGATAGGTTGCCTCTTGTATGGGGAGGGAACACCCAAGGCAGGTATGTGCTGTGACCTTTTTGGTGTATGGCATGAAACTCCAACCGACTGAGCCACCGGGCCAGGGCCAAAGTTATTTTTATATTTAGTGTTTTATGTAAGATTCTGATTTAGCAAAAGAGTTTGCTTAAGAAATAAATGAATTAATAAAAAATTTCAGGAGAGCTTCAAAACTTTAAAGAATGGCCACCAGCCTAAACATTTTGGGGGATTAACAAAAAAATATCTTAATCAGGAATTGGAGCCCCTCTCTTTAAAAAATTAAATTTATGCTAGGTAAGCCTTTAAAGTATTACCTTGTCATATTATCATACCAAAATTTTATATTTTAATACATTAATAATATAATTTATTGGGTGTTTTTTTTTTTAATGGTATTTCTTCTCAGCCTGCTCAGCAGCAGATATAAAAATGGGAAGGACTGGAATAGGAAGACATATAAGTGGAAATCCATTCAGAATAGGAAGCTGAGGAAAATCCTAAATAGAATATAATGTATTCAGTAATTATATTTTCTAAATGATGTACACCATGATAGGTGACATATTATAAAAATTTTGCTTTAATCTTGTCCTAGTTTTTCTTCAAATCAACAGCTATCTTCAAATATGAACAACTAATCATGATGATTTTAAAAGCAAAACCATCGCCGAAACCAGTTTGGCTCAGTGGAAGAGCTTTGGTCTGGAGACTGAGAGATCTGGGTTCGATTCCGGTCAAGGGCAGGTACCTTGGTTGCAGGCACATCCCCAGTAGCGGGTGTGCAAGAGGCAGCTGATCGATGTTTCTCTCTCATGAATGTTTCTAGCTTTCTATCTTTCTCCCTTCCTCTCTGTAAAAAATCAATAAAATATATTTTAAAAAAATAAATAGAAAAAAAATAAAAGCAAAACCATCAACCTGAGTTCAATTATGTCTCTTCTTCATATCTCTATGTCTATGTCACTTCTTTTTTGTTTGTTTTTTAAACATCGATGAGTGAGAAACATCAACCAGCTGCCTCTTTCACACCCCCTACCTTGGATCTGCCTGCAACCAATGTACATGCCCTTGACCGGTGTTGAACCTGGGACGTTTCAGTCCGCAAACCAACGCTCTACTGCTGAGCCAAACTGGTTTCAGCTATGTTTTATGACTGCTTATTCCCAAAACCAAGATCAAAGTATATAAACCATAATCAGCTAAAATATTGTGTAATCATTAAATTCTGCCCATTATGAAATATAAAAATATCTGCATCTGAATAACAAATATCCTGTATAATAAAGAGCTAATATGCAAATGGCTGTCACACCCTCATACCCTTATGCCCTGGAGCAGGGGCCCAGGGGGCCTGAGGCTGGGCCAGGGAGGCTAAGGATGCATCCCCTGCCCTGAGGGGCTTGACTGGGTGGAGGCCAGCCAGGTCTGGGTCTCCCACAATTTTGAGGCATGCGTGGGTGGGCGTGGACTTGACCCTAGGTCCTGAGGCATACCCCAGACACTGACAAGAGTGAGATTTTCATATACATTTTACAAATTTTCTTTCATCTCTGAAACCTCTATTATAGAGAAAGAGCAAATAGCAATATTAAAATATTGTTCTAATTAATTCCCTTTTTATGTGCACGAATTTCATGCATAGGGCCACTAGTGTAATATAAATAATTTCATATTCACAGTGAAAAGATTCAAATTTAAAGACGGCACCTCTATTCTCCCTCCTTACACTCCCTTTCTCTCCCAATTGTAAAGTATACTCAAAATGAAAGAATTCATTGATTTCATTGTTAAGGTAAAAACCTCCCAATTTTTTCAGTAGCACATGTGATTAGTAATGAGGAAATGGACTCAGAAAGGTTTAGTAGACCTGAGCTTCTACAGAATAGTTTTAGAAATAGTTTACCTATGTTAAATAATATAGTATGCTTAAAAAAGCAAATCATGAAGCTTATTCGGAATTCAAGGGATACAGAACAATAAAAATTTGTTTTTGTATGTGTAAGAACAAACCCATTTCTGAGATTTGTCCCTGAAATTGTTTTTCATTTCTGCACAGTCACTTTGATTAATGCATTGGGATCTGAAACCTTGAATAGAAACATCCTCAAAGACAGCACACAGATAACAATCTCTTATGATGTCAAAAAGGAAAAGGTGGGAAATGTTCCTAAAGTAAGCATGTTTATGTTGTATAGCAGTCAGTTAAGTCTTTAGACTATTTCTTCTATTAGAAAAATACTTTTATTTCTACCTAATCATTCTAAGTATTTTCAACCATACTTATATCTTAAACAATCTCTGTACAATTTACCATTTAAAGGTAAAATACACTTCAACCGTTTGCTAAATTCTAGGTAAGACTGTTGTTTTCTACATAAAGATGATGCCCAAGTAATTTGCTTGTTTTTACATGCTGAAAAATGGTCATGTCACATTTAAGAGAAATCATGAGAATCTTTGAAAAACCCTTTTAAAAAGCAATTCATCCTCTTTTTCTGCCACTGACATTTTTCATTGGAAAAGGGCTCAGACTCAAAGAATGGCTTCTTATCTATGCCAGTGAATTTACAAGCAGCTTTGTCTTTTAATGGATTAATAACTACAAACTTAGGGCAAATCATAAAGTGATACTCAAATATATCCAAAATTTTGGAGGTGTCTTCTACAATGCTTTAAAATTTTAATAGATCACAAATACTTTATGAGCTCTTAGAGATGGCCGTAACAGAGAGTCCAGTAATCATTCAAGTTATCAAGTCCATCATTTCAACTTTATTAGACAAGCAGGCAAACCCCAGTCTCCTTTCTGTCCTGTCAGAAGTTATTTCAAAGCGTGGGAAAATAATTTCTGTTGCTGAAATAGTTAAATAAAGGTATTCATTTATTCACAATAGCATTATAGAACTGCAAAAAAAAATAGAAAATTATTAGCATTTAGATAGTAAAGAGGTTACATGGGTTAATGACAGCAAGAGAAATAAGACATTGTACAAATGGAAGTTATATTTAATTTAACTTCCAGTTGCTTAAGAGTATGATATTTTTAATTTTTCAATGATTAATATGTGTCACAAAATACAGGAAACATTATTGCATTAAAAGTAAGAAGATTGATTTTTAGCCCCAACTTTATCCAGTAACCAGGTGAATTGCCATGAATATGTTCAATCTTTTCTGAGTCACTGGTTCTTCACTGTTCAAGAGGGGTTTGCACTCATTTGCCATTTAGTAAGATGTCCATGGTACCATGATTTTCTTTTCCCAGATGTAACATGTTATGAGAGAAAGAGTACTTGGGCTGATGGTCAAAGACTCAGGTCTTCACGCCACCTTATCATAAAATGGATGTTTGATTCAAAAAGATCAGAAACTTAAAAATCAGAAAGCAAAGCTCCAGTTTTTATTTGATTTGTTTATTCATTATTTTAGCCTGGATTCATTGGTTTATTCCTTCAGTTAGCTTGCTAATATTGACTGGGTGTCTACTAAATATTAGACACTGGGTGACACTCAAGCATAAAGTGAAAAACAAATCTAGACCCTGGGTACATTTCAGAAATTATAATCTATAAGGCCTGGGAAGTAGAAGCTGTAGAACTGAGTAATTATTCAGATTTTAGGAATTAAGGAAGAAACAATGCAACAATGATGTTTAAGTAGCTGGCTTAGGCCAGTGGGTCAACTGTCATGTACCTATTGGAATTAGGAACACAGGGGAAAAAAAGATTTAGGGATAAGATGAAGAGTTATAATTTTAAAATATTCAAGTAGATGTAGCTGTAAGGAAAACATGAGGTAATTTCTAGAAGGGCAGGTACAAGGCTGGGCTCAGAAGCAAGCTCATGGCAAGAATGATAACTATTGGTACTTATTTGTTAATTAAAATGAGTTTATGGCAATAAAAGCCATAAGACTGTTGATTTAGGAAAGCTTGCATATTGATAAGATAAAAGGACCTAGAAGAGATTTCCAAGGATCTTCTAAAGGCAGAGTGATGGAAGAGCAGGCACAGAAAATTTAGAAAGGCAAAAGAATAAAAAGCAAACTAAACATGGTACCATAGCAGGCAATGGACTGATTAAGAAAATTCTTAATCAAGTAATGTGAAAATTTATGAGAGTAATAAAGGGACTACAAGATTCCTTTTGATAAGAGGACGAGATGGGTATCTGAAGTGAAAGTTTTATAGACTGAGAGGCGAAGACACAAATTGGAATTGCTAGGAGAATTAACATAGGCAAAGCACCTAATAATTATTCACTGCTTCACCCAAAAGAAATCAAAGCATTCTAAGAGTG